CTGGATTTCACCTGCGAAATGAAAAAAAAAATCTCATTCACATTCACCTGCGTTACATGTTTATTTTAAATAAACGTTTTTTGTGACCCAATGTAGTCAGATTGATCAGTCATTTTAAAGAATGTTTTTGACTTTAATAAAAAAGCAGTTAATTTAGATATTACACATTTTTAGATTTCCTAACAAAATATTTAGACAGGATTTGTATGGATTTCTTATGTTTTTTTGGAGATTAAGATGTTCTTGATGTTGCATTACAGGTTCTTGAGATCAGTATCTTAGTTCTGGGTTCCTTAAAGCACCAAAAACAGCAATGATTTTCTGAAGAACGACAGAATAAAAAGTTCAGAATGTAAACTTTTAAAAGTGTTAAAAATATTGTTTTATCAATTTTTATGAAAATAAGTTAGCCTGACTACTTCTTGAGACCTTCACGATGATGCTACTGTCCATGAAAGAGGTCCCAGTTTTTCCTTCCTTCGCTCTTGCCAAGCTAGGTTAATGGCAGACTCTCTGATACGTAGCTTTCTAGTTTCATGACGATAAATCAGTCTTCAAAACTTTTTCATTAACAAAGTAATAGACCTGATCTTAATAAACTTTTTCTAGATCTTCACCTGAACAATGGCTGGTAATTAGGATGTTCTGCTCCACCAATTTAAACACTGTATAATGTAAGAGTAATTGTAAAGTGCTTCATCTATGGCCCAAAGGCTCATTCAGGCCTTGTTCTTATTTAGCATTCTTACCAGTGAACATCTCTTTGAGGACATGAACGAAGATGACAGTTAAGCAGGTGGCAGGGCGAGAGGTGTTGTATGCCTTTGTGCTTTGATGTATTTGAGGAAAGAACCTTCTGTCTCTTCCATTCTTGTCTCTGAAAGTCTCCGCCTCTAGAACACTGGTGAACACTGTACTTAACATCTCAACTCAGACACAAAAGCCCACACACCTGAAGTTTTCTCCAGAAACTGGGCTTTATGTAATATTACCATAGGGACCAATCTTGAACAAAGGGCTTTTATGCAAAAAATGTCTGCGGTTTATGTCTATGTTGGTAAAATGGTAACAATTAAGGGTTTTTTGGGGTTTAAGACCTGAAAAAGTTGGACAATGGAATTGGAGAAACCTATATAGTGTGAAAATTGAAGTAATGCGGTTTTACTCGGAGAAGGAATTTCCATTGTGACTGGTTTGTTTCTTTCTCTGGTGTTTACCCAGGATGTCCCGCTGTCATCAGGGACACAGAATGGCTATGTCCTCCTGCTGGTCCTCTTGTCCATCTTTGTCGGGGGGACACTGGTCCTGCTCTCTGTCCTTCTGATTGTCTGTCGCCGTTGTTGTGAAGGGGACAGACGCCATGCATGGTAAGACCAATCCCTCGCAACATAAACATTTATATATATATATATATATATATATATATATATATATATATAATATTTTTGTATTTATCTTTTCAGAGCAGTTCCTCAGGAGTATTTTTATGGATACATACATACTGTATATACATATAAACCAGAATATATATATATATATATATATACAGTGTGTGTGTGTGTGTGTGTGTATATATATATATATATATAAACCCATTCAAACCCAGAAGGATCCATTATAGCATATTGTATCAGTGATTATTATTGCACTGCGTGACAGATGGTCGCACCAACTGCATGAGGTTAAGGTTAGGATGCTTTCACACAAGATGTGTTTTTATATTCAGAAGAGTTTTCATCTTAAAACACATCATAAAACCAATTAAAATTATTGTACAATTACAAAAAAAAATAGCACAGATGAAATGAAGAAATCTGTTCTGTGAATATTGAGAATATACATTATGATTGTCGCTTGCAGAATGATGTTTGCATGTTGGATTGCATGTTGACAGATGATGCATATGATTACGTTTGACACTAAATTATACATCAAATAAAACCGTAACACAAAGATTCAACTGGAATAAACTGTTCCTCTGATGAAGAGGAACACTCGGCACCGAAAATGTTTTCTGTGCACATTCGTCACAGCCTGGCTGTATTTCTCAGTGGCTGCTGAGAGGTGTAGAGTCTGCCTGCTCTCCAGGCTCACACAAATGACGAGTATAATGAGATCTCATAGTAGCCATCAGCCGCGATAAATCACTCCTGGTGCGGGAGAGAGTGCACTCTAGCCAACACCCACTAAAATATGAAGAAATCTGTTCTGTGAATATTGAGAATATACATTATGATTGTCGCTTGCAGAATGATGTTTGCATGTTGGATTGCATGTTGACAGATGATGCATATGATTACGTTTGACACTAAATTATACATCAAATAAAACCGTAACACAAAGATTCAACTGGAATAAACTGTTCCTCTGATGAAGAGGAACACTCGGCACCGAAAATGTTTTCTGTGCACATTCGTCACAGCCTGGCTGTATTTCTCAGTGGCTGCTGAGAGGTGTAGAGTCTGCCTGCTCTCCAGGCTCACACAAATGACGAGTATAATGAGATCTCATAGCAGCCATCAGCCGCGATAAATCACTCCTGGTGCGGGAGAGAGTGCACTCTAGCCAACACCCACTAAAACACACACACACACACTCGCAGTGTGCCACCGTTCACTGTGGTTAGAGAACTGGAAAATCATTTCCAGTTTCTCATTACCCACAGTGCCTTATGGCGAATGAAACTGTATATTGTCGTAATAAAGCCGGTGTTGTTATTGTGCCTATCATACGCGTTTATTTAAATGTCAACGCAGGTGAATGAGGTTTTTTTTTTTCTCAATTATTCACAGCTGGGACATTTTTAAAATCTGGTGACTTTCTCACATAACGTTTAAAGACCCCATAAAATCACGTTTTGGCAGGACATGTCGATTGGTTTTGATTACATCACAGCCAGGAACTATGATTTACTACACTTGGTGGAGAAACAATTTCACTCAGAAATGTGCTAGTAAATTTCACATTTAATTATGGAAATTAAGGAAATGACAAGTAACATAATTAAACATTACATTCTGAAGTAGGTTGTAGGTGGCGTTGAGGCGGGCATACTGATTCTAAACAGCATTTGATTGGACACAAATCTGTGTAGTGCAGGATGACATCATCAGTATCTTGATCAATTTAAACGTGAATTTACGTTTTAACTATATATATACAGTAGTGCTATATATTAGTGCTGTCAAAAGATTAATTGCGATTAATCACATCCAAAATAGAGGTTTTTGTTTACATTATATATAAGTGTGTACTGTGTAGATTTATTATGTATAAATATAAATACACACACATACAGCATATATTTCAGAAAAATTATATATATATATATATATATATATATATATATATTTATATACTATTATGTTATATAATATGAAGGGGTTTTTAATGCAAAATTAAAATGTATTAACTTAACATTATTTAAATAATAGTACAACAGGAAGTACTTCTCCACAACTTTCTGACTGACAACACCATTAAAACAAAATAGAAACATTCTTTTTACATTAAATATATTATTTACTTTCGAATATATTCTAATCTAATCTAGTACAAAAAAGGATAAACTGATACAAAATTTAAATAATAAAAAGTGTGAATAAAACAGTAAAAAGATGTGGAACAATAGAATTGACTATAGAATGCTGCCTTTTATATTATTTTTTATTTTTTTTCCATTTATGTGTGAAGTCCCGGAACATGTTTGTCATCATATGATAGTGACCCAGTTCTGCATGTTATGAATGAGATGAACATGAATTTGAATTTGACTGGTTACGTGTTTGCATTGAAGGTTCATTGTTTGCCTCAGGGCTAGCGATGACACCGAGAAAAGTAATACCAGCTATATTGAGGAGGGCCAGCCAGTGCACGGTAAGAACTTCCCTAAAAACGTTAAATTCCATGTTACATGCCAACCTGTCAAGTTTAAGTGACAGTGTCACATACATCACCTGAGGGCATCATGCGAAAAACAAACCCGTCCTCTGGTCTAATCTGTCTCTCCCCGCACAGAGATTACGATTCGCATCGATGAGTCAGATTGCCTGTCGGCAGGCAGCTCCCACGACATGGAGACAGAGCGTTTCCTCTCCACGGGCACAACCGGCCGCCGGGTCTCCTTCAACGAAGCAGCGCTCTTCGATCACAGCAAGAAAACACAGGAGAAGGGTCGAAGGTCAGCCGCCCACTCACTCGTACCACCCACTCTAGACACAGAGCGCTCCTATTCACAGCGCTCGCTGCCGCAGCAGACTGCAGCTTTCATTACTCATTTATCTATGCGTTTTACATTTACATCTGGACTTGTCAGATGCATGAGCCGTTGATGAATAACGGCCATTAACTTGTTTGTCAACATCAATATTTTGGGTAAAATTAATGACAGCATATATTTTGTACAAAAAAAAAAAACTTGATTATCTGATTTGAGTAGTACTTGTTCTATTTATTTATTTGTAAGGTCATGAAAATGTATGCATAATAAGTAATACAAAATGATTATTAATATTAATTAATATATATATAATACATTATATACACACACACATTTATTTTGAGATATACTACATCAAAAAGTATTTAAATGATTAGCATTTAACGATTTAATAAAAATCTTATTCTTTAATTTGTAATTTTACGTTTGATATTTTAAGAATAATATATAATAGATATAAAATTAAATGTGTATATATTTATATAAATGTGTATATAAATGTATTTTTTTTAAAGAACTTAATGCATTACATATTTAATTTGATATGTACTTCATCTAAAACTATATTAAAATACTTATGCATACATTATTACCTAAAAAGGATAATTATTCAATAATGAGAGAAAGATTTTTTTTTAAATATTAATTTGACAAATTACATGACTTTTTAATTAAAACTACAAGAATAGGATGATTAAAATGGTTATATATATATATATATATATATATATATATTTCTTTAATACTTATGCATACATTAAAAATAGATAATTAGTATATAATTAGAGAAAATTTTGTTTTAAATATTAATTTGTCAAATGACATAACTTTTTGATTACAACTAAAAGAATAAGATGATTAAAATGGTGATATATGTATATATATATATATCAAATTATTATTAAAACAAGAGTTATGCATAAATCTGTTTTTAAGCAGTATGCAGATAAGACAGTTTCTTTGGGTGACTACTTTTCGCAATGCAATTTGTCTACTATCAGCACAGATAACTCATCTTCGACTATCTAAACGACACTTTCAGCCAACACATTCCCGTGATATATTTGTGGTGTAAATCTCTAATGAAGTGATAAATCCAGCCAGCATGTGTCATATTTCCACCTCACCTCAGGTACACGCTTACGGAGGGCGACTTCCATCACTTGAAGAACGCACGGCTCACCCACCTCCACCTCCCTCCACCCGCCCTCCAGATACTCACCATCCACGAGTGTGAGTCATCAGAGAACAGTATTGCCATGACAACGCGCCCCGTCGCTAAATCCAGCCTCTCAATTTTTCAGGTGACATTGCTCTGCTAATAGGAGAATATGATGTCAGTCATAACAAGGGCGGAGATCGTATTTTTCTTGGCAGTTAAAAGCGCTGAGGTCGTGATGGATTGTCAGTTTGTTAAATGATGTGGTGTGTAAGGAGACGTTTATGCAGTGGAGCAATGGATTTATAGATATTGGGGTCATTAATGTTTTAACATGTTATCTTTAACTTGTACTTTACTTTAGCCATGTCATGTCATGACAAGTGATAAATCCTACTGTATCTCACAAATTGTACCTTTTTGTAACCTAAGCAGCTGTTATTGATGTGACCCATGACAAGAAATCGGTTGTGTTCAGAATACTATTCTAACCTAGTATATACTGTACAAATATACTGACTACTAAAAACATAGCATGTGAAACAGTATACATCATTTATACTAGCAAGTTTGTTTTTTGAAAAAAGAATTTAATACTTTTATCATCAAGAACACAATAAAAAATCTTTGGTTTTTGCTGTTAAGTAAACTGTCATATTAGCAGAAAACTTAAAAAAAATACAGCTCTGTTCTGTCTGATCGGGGCCTAATCGATTAAATAGCAGAAGTTATTCCTCCTGACGTCATTAACAATGTCGAATTAATGTGTTTCAAACGACGGAGATGCGACTGTGTTCGGGAAATAGTCGTGACTAGCTAGTTTGTTTCCACAACAATGCATCGTACTATGGTGGTTAATCAGCGAGTTACGTTGTTGTACAGGAAATGAACAGGAGATGTTAGAATGCTGCTTCAATAAAGCTATTGAGTCTGAATCTTTAATAAACATTTTTATATCTGTACCAGGCATCATGTTTAATCAGGTTTCTTATTACTGCCAAAATAATAACCACCCATTGTGTTTGTCACGTGCACAGCCACCAGTATTTTCCCTGCCCCAGACTGCCCTGACCAGCCGGAGTCTCAGTCCCAGCTCTGCCCTTCCTGGCGACGCTCTCAATTCCACTGTGGACACGACGTTCTTTGAGAGCATCACAGTGGCCGGTCCTGAGCTGTCCAGCCCGTGTCTAGTGAGTCACACACACTCACCCACTGACACATCACAATACACACAACAATCCACGCAAACGGACAACTCAAAGTTCATTTGAGTCACAAACACATGCTGGATGCATACAGCAGATCATCCGATTGTATTGCATTTATGTAATCTTGCGAACACAAACAGATGGAGGTCAGAGGAGGAGTCAGGAGGAGCACAGGCATCATGGGTAACGGTAGAGAGTGTGCGTCGGCCTCATCCATGGCCCTGTCCTCCTCTGGCGGGGCCCCACAGGGCCCCATGCTGCAGTTCTTCACCAAGCTCCGCCGACACGCTAGCCTGGAGGGAGCGAGTCCCTACTTCAAGATCAAGAAGTGGAAGTTCGACAGCAGCCAGAGAGCTTCAAGTCTAGACATGAGAGGTCAGTGACACATCCAGGAGCTGGCAGCAGATTAAAGAAAGCATCCGGTGTGAATGTAGGGCGCTAGTTTCATCACAAATAAACAGGCTGTGCTGATGAAACATGAATTTTATAGAGGTATTGCTATTTCGTGTTGTTTTAAATATGTTTTTCTTAAATATAAAGCCAACTACATTTTTTATTGGACTATACTAATTAAAACAGTTTAGTTTCCAGATATTTTTGATATTTGGATATTTTTATCAGTGCTTTATCTATAATTAGCTTTAGAGTATTTTGTTTTGTTTTTAAAGCAGTCCATTTTTAATTAGAAGTTGTAAAATATTTTATTATTTTTAATAAAACAAATCATAAAAAAAAATTAATTTAACATTTAAATATTGTACTTAAACATACAATGCCGTTAAAAAAATTGGGTTATTTTTTTGGACTTTTGGGGCATTTATTTGATCAAAAGTACAGCAAAAATAGTAATATTGTGAAATATTATTACAATTTAAAATCAATGTTTCTATTTTAATATATTTTAAATCATAATTTATTTCTGTGATGGTAAAGCTGAATTTTCAGCATCATTACTCCAGTCTTCAGTGTCACATGATCCTTCAGAAATCACTCTAATATGCTGATTTTATCAAGAAACATTTCTTATTATTATCAATCCTGAAAACAGTTTTTACTGCTTAATATTTTTGGGGAAACCATGTTTTTTTTTGGGGGGGGGGGGTTCCTGAAAAAAGTTTTTTCTGGTTAATTTTTTTGGGGAAACCATTTTTTTTTTTGGGGGGGGGGGGGTTGATGAATAGAAAGTTCAAAAGAACAGCATTTATTTGAAAACTTTTGTAACATTAAAAATTTATTTACTGTCATTTTTTTATCAATTGAATGCATCCCTGCTAAATAAAAGAATTAATTGATTAAAAAAAAATCTTATTGACCTCAAACATTTGAATGGGAGTGTATAGTAAAGAAGTTTTTGCAGAGCGTAGTGGTTGGCATTTGTTCAAAACAATGATGTGAATTTGGTGGCAAAAAGCGATCTAATTTTCTTCTCTTAATTTGATCACCTTTGTATTATACTAATGCATTGACATGACAAAAATCCTCTGATAGTGCAAGTGTCTACCTCATGTTTTGAATATGAGAAAAGTGCACGGTGTAGCTGATGGGACTGAATGAAATAATAAACATGAATGACTAGATTAATAAGAATGCTGCTGTTTGATTATATAAGTATTACTGTAAATATCTCTGGATTTATCCTCTCAGGTCTGACAGCATGAAAGGAAGTGAGATAACACTGCTGTGGAAAGTACAGACAGTGTTATGAACCTGTGAAGCGATCAGTTTCCTAGCCTTAGGGGATGCAAAGCAATATTGAATGTTTCTTTGCTTTTCATTTAGCCCCTGCATTGTGTATTACCTTGGAAAAATTATTGAAGACCTTAATAGAGTTTTAGTGCCTTCATGTAGCGTGGAGCAGAGAAATGGTTTGGCTTTTGTGTGTGCGTATGTGTGTAGCAGACTATAGAATATTCTCTCAGCCAAGACGAAGCTGCTGTATCTGAGTGCCAAGACTCACTCTCAAGCAGATGGCCGGTTGACGCAGGGCTCTTCCATTCCAAACTTTTTTTTATTTATTTATTTATTTTTAATGAGAGAGAGCGAAAATGAGCGTCCCAAACGCTCAGTGTTTTTTTATTCTGTGAAACAATACGGTCATGATAAAAGCTATGCTCTCCATATAATAGATTTCCACTGTTGGATGCCCAGGGTAACAAATAAGATACATGTTTTAATGTTAATTATGTTTTCTGAATGCATTAAACCTAATGCACTACATTTAGAAAGCAAAAGAGGAGAGGTTGGAATCCATTATTCGAGAATTGGAAGATGAGTTAATGAATTGTAAATGTTTTTATGTTCCATATGTTATGTTGGTCTTATTTGTACTGGATTTGTGTATAAGTGTACATTTGGCTACCTATCTTGGCCAGGACACTCCTGTAAAACAAGGTTTTTAATCTTTCTTGGTAAAAAAAAATAACGGTAAAATAATAATAATATTAAATTTAGAGGCAAATTATATATATTTTTATTATTTATGCATTATTTTACAATTATCTTTATATTACTTTGATTTTATATTTTAAAATAAAATAATTATTTTAATTCATGAGAACCCTAGTTATACACTAAAATGGAGCCAGACGAAATGTGAGTTTGCTAAAAGTAATTTGTTTATCAGCTATTTCAGCCACCAGACTGGATATGATTTGATTCTTATCAAAACTATGAGATAACACAGTGATAAGTGAGAATTAACATATTGAGACTTGAAGAGCAAAGTCACAATTATCAATATTTTTCCACTAAAACGTTATTTAAACACTATTTCTGTAAAATGAACTGTTATGAATAATTATGTTCGAAATAATTATTTTATAAATTAGCCCTATAAAACCAATAGTTTTGACTGTCTTTTTTGTGCGTGGATATATTCATACATTAATTTTTCATTAATTTTACCACAAAAAATAAGTGTAGTAGGATTATGGCTGATTTACGACCAATTGACCCTTCTCAAAGACCTGACCTGCTTAGTTACTGTTGCTATGTCCAACAAGCCATGGCACTCTCACTCCACACACCATGTTCTCAAGTAGTGAAAAATACATCGAGGAGCAAAGAGGAAACTGACAACATACCAACAGACAAGATAGAGCAGGTTACTACTGGTTTGAAACATAGTCTTAGCTTTCAAATTTTGTCATTTTGTAAGAAATTCAAACAATAAATACCATTTTGTGGGCCTTTAACATGTCGTGACAGATCGCTGTAGCGCCTCAGTTCAAGCGGCATGTGCACCAATCATCTCTTTCTCTTTACTAGTTATAGCACGAAATAAGCATGAATGAACATCAGAAGGTATCTTATTTCAACCACGGAAAGACATCAATACACTGTATTTGAAGTTAATCTACTCTCCTGTTTAATTTGTTTGTTGGACAAAAAAATGCAGATTCAGCATTATGATTGGTCAGATCACCTGTCAATCAAACTCCCTACGAAGGGTCAATTTGAAAGTTCAATGCAACTGCGACTAGGGGGCGAAAAGCAGCAATCGTACACGGATATAATGGAACGGTGGTTTAAAGGGGTCATGACATGGATTTTTTCAAAATTGTATATGTTCCTTGAGGTTTAATTATAATGTTAATAAAGGTTTGTGCAAAAAATTTAATAAATAAATATGTGGAAAAAATGATTATTTTCAACCCTCATTCTGAACCTCTCCCAGAAACACGCTGTTTTATGGGCGGTTCCTTTAAGGCTTCTCCGTAAACAGCCACTGTTATGACTGACTAATGTCAGTCAGAAAACAATATCAACGCCCCCTCGCTATTGCATGTCATGACAACATAATCAAAATAAAACTTGTCATTTCCAGAACAAGCAACTAGAAATTATTTACTTACAGACTGATGCAGCTGCAGTCAGATCTAATATTGCTTCATTTTTCAACAAATGTTTCTTTGTGAACTCTCCATGACACTGTGCCTCATTTACAAAACAAAATGCTCCAAAGTCCGAACGAGCTGTTTAAACCAAACGCGTCAAAGCAAACATTCTTTCTCTTAATTTGTCCTGACCACAGACTCAAGTATCTGTATCTAAAGATCAAGGGAAATTTGGTTTCTCATGTCATGATTCCTTTAAGGTGGAAAAGGAAAGTAGTTTGAGAGGAAGAGCAAGTTAGAGATTATAAAAAGGTGTTACCATAATTGGCTAACAGCACACAAGAAACTATATGCTTCTAACTACACGTTTAGAGTTGTAGTACCAACTACAAAACTTTGTGATGCAGTTTGCAAATATCTACTGGAAATATGGTTTTGAATTCATTGAAATATGTTGGTAATGACGGAATTTGCAATTACAGTTGGCAAATACAGGGTTCTTTTTGGTGGACCAATTATTTGTTGACAATTAAACCTGAAATGTGTCAATTTTATTTCATGTGAGAAATTTAAAATTGCTTTGTGAGTCTATTGATGATGCCACAAAATTCTCGTTGTCCCCACAGGTTCCCCCAAGCGGAGGCAGTTCCAGCGGCAGCGTGCAGCCAGCGAGAGCATGGACCAGGATGAGCATGACGGCCATCACATCGACCTCATCCAGTACATTGCTCGCACCAAGGATGTCACCTACTGCCCCACTCGGACTAGTCCACGTCTTCTCTCCCCCCCTTCCACACCCCCACCCTCCCTCGGCAGGTATCTTTAATTGCCTCGCCCATGCATTCGCTATAGCAACCATCTGCCTCACCACGCCTCATACAGCAGACCTCATTCCATGCTGGACTGATCTCAGCGCGCTGACCGCATTGCCTTATCATGGCATCATCAGCTTACAGTGCAAAAAGCTTTGCTTTAGATTTGGAAGTCGTTTCCTTGAATTTGGGTAAATACCACAGGTGTACCTTTTGGTATTTTTAGCCATCAGTTAGCATTTGTTTTGCAAAATGGGCCAAGAAGGACAATTTTATGTTTATGAACATTAGTATATTTGTTTATATTTGCTTACCTATCACAACTGACTTTCCTGTTTCTGTCACTGTGTACTGGTCTTCTCAAATTAACCATCACAGAGTGAGTCACAACCATCTGTGCACTAATGGAGGCATCTGTTTTAACATCTCTGAATCTGGACTCCAAGCTTTAACGGAAGGGAAAATAAACAAACATAATATATTTGACATACACTACCATTCAAACGTTTGGGGTCACTTTTATTCAGCGAAGATGCATTAAAGTGGTCCAAGTGACATTAAATATATTTATAATATACAAAAGATTTCTATTTCACATAAATGCTGAAGAATCCTGAACAAATATAAAAAAATTAAAATATTAAGCAGCACAACTTTTGACAACTTCAACATAGATAAAGAAGAAATGTTTCTTGCGTATTTTAGAATGATTTCTAAATAATCTTGTGTCACTGAAGACTGGAGTAATGGCTACTGAAAATTCAGCTTTGCCACCACAAGAAAAAAACCCATTTAAAATGTATTCAAATGGAAAACCAGTTATTTTTTCTGTATTTTTGAACAAATTAATGAGACACTTCTCTAATCTTACTTTCCCCACACTGTTGATCAGTAATGTAGACCTACACTGACATAAAACATGATGTTGTGCTATGTTGTGGCATTTTCTAATTAAATAATATAATAGGGATGGTCTACAGTGGTTAGCTACTCAACTAGTTTAGACTAGTCAGTTAGTTAGGTTGACTAGTTTACCTTAGTTTTCAGTATTGTACAACTAAGATTGTAGCAGTGCTACTTAAATTGTCATTTTAAAAATTGCTTTGTGTTTTTTACTGTTTTTGGAGCATTGCAATTTTAGGATTATTTGTATAAAAATGTTATCTAAAAATTGTAAAAATATGAAAAATATATAAAAGTTAAATCTGGGCTCAAAGATAAACTAAAGATAAACCCACCAAATAAACCTAATTTATTTGACAAACCCACACTAAAACAGATGTTGTGCTACACTGCGGCATTTTCTAAAGAAATACTGACTATATTTAAGAAAACGAGTTTGACTGATTTCATATGTGTGCTGTTCTTCAGGTTAGAGGTGGAGGTGATGGTGGAGCCCAGCTGCAGCAGAGCGATGGGTCCCGGGGTGATCGGCCTCACCTCTGAGCCCCCGCAAGAGAGTCTTGGAATGGGCTACCATCAGGAGAGCTTAGAACCTCAGACCTTGTACTGTGATATCTGGACTCTTCGAGCCTCTCTCGAGCGGTATGTCTCGTCCGACCAGAGCAGCAACAACGACAAAGACTCCGTCCGTAGTGACGCAGACAGCGTGTGCTCTTTAGGGGGTAAGACCGAGATGGGAGGGCTGCCTAGGTACCCCTCGCAGGATATTGGGGATGAGATGGAGGGGGATGCGAACTTGCCTCAAGATGAGGGATCGGAGAAAGGTCGCAAACAAGATAGTGTCGATTCTGAAAGGGGAAGTGACGGGGAGACAGGAAACCGCAAGCTGCTCCAAATGGACAGCGGTTATGCCTCGATAGAAGCACCTTCACGTGCTCCCGAGGAGTTGCGACTGTTAGGTAGCAGCAGTAGCAGTAAGGACGGCTCTGCCGTGGAGCGCAGGCACTTCTTCAGTTCTGGTCGCAAAGGGACCGTGTGCGAGAGCTTCGACACGGACATCTTCGACGAAGAACTCGAAGAGGAACCCGCGGGTGCCAGCGGTGGTGTGGATGGAGTGGAAACGGACGAGAGCACCATGCTGTGGTCCCCCTATAGCCAGATGTTCACTCAACACGACGTTCAACCTCATCCCCCCGTCCTTTCCCGGCGTGACTACAGCATCGATGAGAAAACCGACGCACTTTTCCACGAGTTCTTGCGGCACGACCCGCTGTTCGATCAGCAGGAGTCTCCACTGCACTCCAAGCATCGTTCCCGGGTGCACCTGCGTAAGCAGTGGCAGCGCTCCAAACAGTACAGCGATCCCGGCCAGCGCTTCCAATCCTCTTTTGACCGGTACCGCACTCCTCTCCGACGTGGCGAAACTGTCAACTACCCTCTAGAGACTAGCTACCACAGCACGCTCCCACGAATCATTAGTGCACCTGACGAAGAGAGCAGCGAAGGTGCAACCAGTACACCCGAGACACCCAAGGCAGATCAGGATACCGCTACTGATGTGGATCCTGACAAGATAAGAATATCTTCCAGCACCGAAAGCGGCGGAACCATCAATGAAAAGGAAGCCCTCGAGGCATCGCAGCCCCCTCCAATGACTGACATTTCTGGAGAGCAATCGGTGGGCCAGGAGAACTCTAGGCAAACATTGCCACTGCCTGAGCCTCCTGATGAACATACACCCAAATGTACAAGCTATGGCCCACAGACAATCACAGAAGAGCTGAGAGACAAGCTAGCGGCAACACTCGAAGAGCGGCTGTACTCGGATCTCCGCAGGACCAGGGAACCACCCGAGTGTAGTGCAGTGACTGTGACCTACACATCGCCCGATCACAGTCCAGTGTAGCATGTGGCTCCCTTCATCTCCTCGTGCAAGAACACTTCGCGGCAACTACAGGTCCAAAGTTTTGATCGACATTGGCTCTGACATTGGACATTTGCTTTGGTCATTTAAATGGCGTTGAAATCATTCTCATTATGTCCTAGACCAGTGGTGTAGAGACATTTCTTCCATGCTCAGTGTTGAATAAATGGCAATTAAGGCTCATACCTCATGTTGCTCAATGCACCAAGTCTTAAACAAATGAAATGTCAAAGTCTGTTATTATAGCTCTCCATTTAGCTATTTGTTGACTTCAAAAGCCAATATTTTCTCTGCACTAGGTAATCCACTGTGAAATTGGGTGCTATTAGATTAAAGATTGATTATATTTGTAATTGCATGAATTATATTGCAATGCTGCCTATCCGGATGTCTGTTCATGACCCAAATCAATATTATTTTCTTTTACTTATTTTTAAATGTACAAGCTAGCCCTCCATTCGGTTATTATGTTTTGTTTCTGAAGTTGTAAAATACTCAGTACTACTTATTATTAGCATCTGGGAAGAGAAATATATTTGTGCAAATTTCCATGTAGAAAAGAAAAAAAATCTGTAAAAATCTGCTTGACTAATTAATCAGTCAAAAAACAAAAAACAACAACTAAAAAGAGAAAGCGAGGCAAGCTTTATTTTGTTTACCTGGATCTCTTTGTTCTAGATCTACTGAGCCTTGAGGGACCAACCAATATAAACATTTATTTTCATGTTATGTTTTTCCAACTAGTCAATAAAGAATGATGCATTATGACTTTGCTCGAGTCCTTTTCGTTTTTTCATCTCAAGATCCAAGAGATTGTCGGCTCGCTCCGGCAAACCGTTATCAGCACCTGTCTATGTTCCACCCTGCCATTCTCCATCTTAGGTGCTGAAATATCCCTTTGGGAACATCAAATATTCATATCAGCCAAGCTAATAAATTAAAGATGGCTGTACAGTCATTATGATTCTAAATCAATAGCAACCCCAGGTAACCAGGGAGAATGGGAAAGGACCTTAATGCTTGTGATAGCGGCTACCAATCATTTGCGCGACAGCACAAACAAAGACCACTGACACATCCTATTTATTCATGTCCCTCTGCTGTAATGAATGTTCCTCATCTGAACTGAAGATGACCAACTCTATGGATGGTCACCAGCTTCATTTCTCCACTGGGGACCATATGTTTGATCACAATTAAATTTGACGTCAAAACATATGCATACACAGAATAATTGATAACTGTGGCGAGGGAAGATATTTGCCAAACAAAAAATATTCCTAACGAGATTAATACATTTTCTAGTCAGAAATTGGACATGAAGCCCTCTCAAGTTTATTTAGGTATATAACTACGTAGCCGAATGCATTTTGTATGTATTTCCCATCGCAAAAAAAGCATTTATTTAAACTAGAAAGCTGCCTATCTAGATAGCTGAGTGAATGTATACAATGGAGTGGGTATGTTTATATGGTTGTCAATTAATGGGACACTACGTTTTATTCACAATCCATTGGATTTTGACTAAATATCTTGGATACATTTTGGCTTTAATACCTACAGTTTTGTGGCTCTTTAACGTGTCGTGACAGATCACTGTAGCACCTCAGTTCAAGTGGCATGTGAACTGATCATCCCTTCCTCTTTACTAGTTATAGTACAAAATAAATATGAAGGAACATCAGAAGGTATTTTATTTCAACTGCAGAAAGACGTCAATACACACCATATTTCAAGTTTAATTCCACGGAAGGTAATCTACTCTCCTGTCTGATTTGTTTGTCAGACAAAATGGTGGATTTGGTGTTACGATTGGTCAGATTGCCTGTCAATCAAGCTTCCTGCGAAGGGTCAACTGTGATTTTAGAAGTAGGAAGTAGGAAATTTCTGATAGCAAATGAAGGTAACATTAATATCCAGCAACATTTTAAGCTTTTTAGGCAGTCGTGGCCTAATGGATAGAGAGTCGGACTTGTAACCCAAAGGGTGGGGGTTCAAGTCTCAGGTCCGGCAGGGATTGCAGGTGGGGGAAGTGAATGTACAGTACTCTCTCCACCTTCAATACCACGACTGAGGTGAAACCCTTGAGCAAGGCACTGAATCCCAACTGCTCCCCGAGTGCCTCAGCAATATGGCTGCCCACTGCTCCAGGTGTGTGTTCACAGTGTGTGTGTGCACTTGTATGGATTAAATGCAGAGCACAAATTCCAAGTATGGGTCACTATACTTGGCCACAAGTCAATTCACATTCACTTTAATTTAGTTTAGTTTATGTAAAAATCCAAGAACCATGATGTGCTACTAGAGAGCATTTGATTGGACAAAGAACAGAGCCACAGCACTCTTTAAATCTTATTTGAGTAGAGTACTTTCTGCATGGTCACACATGCAATTTATTGCATTTTAAGCTAATTGAAACCTCATTCAGTACTTTGGAAAGGAAAGCTAAGAGAAGAAAAAGCCTCGGTTCACTCTTCGAAGCTTGGCACTCATTAGGATGACTGTACCCTGTGAAGCGTGCTTGGTGTACATATGCACCGCTCGAGGCTACAGAATAAGATGTGCTTCTTATCATCATAGTGACAGCACATATGGTTTCAGTGGAAAGCGTCTTCTAACGCAATCATTTCGTAGTGGTCTACTAAGAGCAAACCGTCTAGAGACGAGGGGATGGGTTGCCCTTGCAGACTTATCTACACATAGTTAATTTCTTCCTAAAATGGAAGTATAAACTGTGCCTAGAACCGCTGTGAGATTCAAAGTCGCAGGAACAAATGGTGTCTGAAATATCTCATCTTCGTGAAACACAATATCCTGTGCAATCCATTAAGCAGAGATGGCCAGTGAGTCACCAGCAATGCACAAATTAATGGAGATGAAATGTAACTCACTCCCTACCCCATCCCATCAGCAGACAGAATGGTGCTTTGCGAGAGCATAGCATCAACATTTCAATCGGCCCATTCCCTTCTGCGAGGGAAAGAGAGCGAGAAATAAAACGCGTGGGAGACACCGGTGACTCAGACTGGATCAGATACACTTTTATCTGAAGGTCACTCAGGCTCTCCTCTCTAATTAAGCAATGCTGAAAATGTTAAAAACTGGTTTCTGGACTTCTTGACATACTAGACTTCAGAAACATCGGAATATGTGCCAAAAACTATCCGGTTCCCATAGGAAAGAAAAATTACAACTGAGATGTCTTTCATATATCAATTGTTTCTCTAGTATGTACAGTGCTGCTTGAAAGTTTGTGAACCCTTTAGAATTGTCTATATTTCTGCATAAATATAACCCGAAAAATAATTTGATTTTCATGCAAGTCCTGAAAGTTGACAAAGAGAATCCAATCAAACAAATGAGATTAAAATATATACTTTGTAATTTATTTATTCAGGAAAATGATCCAATATTGCATATCTGTGAGTGGCAAAAGTATGTGAATCTCTAGGATTAGCTGTAAATTTGAAGGTGAAATTGGAGTCCATCTGTTTTTCAGAGGTGTCAGTGTGTGCCCTGTTTTATTTAAAGAACAGGGATATATCAAAGTTTGATCATGTTTGTGGAAGTGTATCATGGCACAAACAAATGAGATCTCTGAGGACCTCAGAAAAAGAGTTGATGTTGTTCATCAGGCTAGAAGAGGTTTCAAAGCCATCTCTAAAGAGTTTGGACTCCACCAATCCACAGTCAGACAGAATGTGTACAAATGGAGGAAATTCAAGACCACTGTTACCCTCCCCAGGAGTGGTCCACCAACAAAGATCACTCTAAAAGCAAGACGTGTAAAAGTCCACTAGATTTCAAAGGACTGCAGGCTAACTTCTAAGCAACTAAAGGCCTTTCTCACATTGGCTAGTGTTAATATTTATGAGCCCATCATCAGTAGAACACTGAACAACCATGGTGTGCATGGCAGAGTCGTAAGGAGAAAGCCACTGCTCTCCAAAAAGAATATTGCTGCCCATCTGCAGTTTGCTAAAGATCATGTGGACAAGCCAGAGGAATACTGGAGAAATGTTCAACTAAAATAGAACATTTTGGTTTAAATGAGCAGCGTTATGTTTGGAGAAGGAAAACACTGCATTCCAGCATAAGAACCTTATCCCATTTGTGAAACATGGTGGTGGTAGTATCATGGTTTGGGCCTGTTTTGCTGCATCTTGTCCAGGACGGCATGCCATCATTGATGGAACAATGAATTCTGAATTATACCAGCAAATTCTGAAGGAAAATATCAGGACATCTGTCCGAGAACTGAGTCTCAAGAGAAAGTGGGCCATGCAGCAAGACAACGACCCCAAGCACACAAGTCGTTCTACCAAAAAATGGTTAAAGAAGAACAAAGTTAATGTTTTGGAATG